TACAGATAAATAAATGGTAAAATAAAATGATTTGGAAGATTATTTGAAATTGTCGATGAAAGACCGAGCAAATAGTTTATCCAACATAAATTAATTAATAAAAATGGAGTTCATTATAGTACGGGGAATCGGAAGTTTTATTGCATACTAATAGAGAGGTACGGAGATGACACTTATATCGCTCGTAAATAACGAAGACTGAGTATTTCCGGGACACGGTCTCTCGACCAGTTATCCTTGCACCGTAATGAAAACTCCTACCTAAGCTTATTCGAGGCTTCGGGGCTGTAAGAAAAGGTAATTGTAGCGACGCTCCTAACAGTTATAAAGACAAATATAAAACAATTACAAAAACAAATATTAAACAATAACGTACAAATTATAATATTCTCCGAGGATTGAGACGAAACGCGACAATCGCATAAACGTTATTATCCACGAGTTCCCGAATTCTTAACAAACGAAGCAGAAAATGTCCGAAAGGATACATTATTCTTAACCTGAACAACTGAGTGAACAACAAGGGGTAAAGGTGGTAAAGCTTCGATCGTCGCGAGAGTAAAAGGTCGTTGCATAAATTGCAATTAGAATCGATTATAAATTGATAATAGGGAGTCCCTGGCTGATAGGGACACAGACCAGCTCCATCAAGGTCCCGAAGAAAAGGCAAAATTATAGCCGAAGGAGACGTATAAGCGCACAAGGAGGCATATATTCGCGAAGCGTGATGCCGGGTATTGTGTTGAGCGCTCGCGCATGAGCGAGCGAGCAAGAAGGAAAACAGAGAGATAGATAGAGTGAGAGAGAGAGAGAGATAGAGAGAGAGAGAGAGAGAGAAAGATAAAGAGAGAGAGAGAGAGAGAGAGAGAGAGAGAGAGATGGAGATGGAGTGAGTGGGGTGGAGCGCGGGTTCTATGTACAAGTTGCTTAAGTAAGTGGCTTATTTCCACGCTTTCGTGACTTTCCTCCTCGTGGCGCTTGACGAATGGACGAGTAAGGCCAGAACGAACCTAGTGCGCGTGACCATGAAGCGTACACGCACGGGAATCCTTTTCTTTTTCGCGGCATTTTGTCGGCGCGCCTTGTTTACTCGTTCGAATTGCGATCGTTAATGCGCCGTAATTGTACGCGCTCGCAATAACATTTCGTTTTTGCTTTTTCTTCTCGTCTCGATAGCAGCGATAAATTTTTCCAAGCGGTAACTCGAGCACCTTTTGCGCCATCTTTGCCATTCAAGCGCACACATTTATTTTGCGATTTCACCTAACATATTATTGCTTATTGCGATTATATTTCAATACAATAGCTGGTAAAAATGTAGGAAAAGTATTAATATTAGGCGAATATTGAATTATATATTAGAAAGCGAGAATGGGAAATGATAGGTTTAAAGGAAATGCACATGACAGAGAATAGCTACAGAGCAACACCCCGATGACTTATTTCACTTCTTAATCACTAAAAATAAATGACTATTTTCTCTTTACTTACTGAGAAAATGCCGAAGCAAATATCCTACTTGTAATTCAATAAGCTCTTGTTTTTTAGTGGCGGTTCCTAATCTTTATTTCCTTTATTCTATATGATAATTTATTGTTCAATTCCTATCGTATTATTGATAACAAAATTTTTGAAAACAAAAACATAGTAGAAGGATTTTTGTTAAAACGTTAAAGAATATATAATCAAAAATTTATTTCAATTAACATATAATTATAAATTTTAACGCCTATATATATATATATATATATATATATATATATATATATTGTAATTAAATAATCATTAAACACTAATAAATTATATTATACAAGTTATTAAAGTGTGAACGAAAATGGTTGAGTATATTATAAGCTGCCAATAGTTTTGATAATGTATAATGATTTTTTCCTCTGGATTTTTTGATACTGTGACTGGTTAAGATCGTAATTTGGCAATGGCAGTAAATGCATAAAATTAAATCAAACGACACTACGCTTGCATTAGCTGTATATTTCACTCGAATAATAATACTACAGAGAGCATAAACAACAATTGGATGATCGAGCCAAAGCTGAAAACCGAGCAGCAGCACTCCCCGATGCAAATCCCAGAGTGAGCGAAACGGCGAAACAGCCATCGCCATCGAGCACGAGCGCATCCCATTTAATTACAATTAGTAAGAGACGCATAATCGTACGAGGGGCTTCTTGACTAAAACGTGAAAATGTCATGGAGCGTGCGAACGCGATCGACGTCCAAAGCCGCTTTTCTCAACTTTTCATGGCTAGGAACAGATCGTGATGGCCCCCACCCCTCTCACCCACCATAGGTTCGGACGCACGCAAAGCAGACTGAATCCGATTAGGAGTTGCTTTGCGCGAAACCGTACCACGACGCACCGGATAAGCCCGCGGCTCAGCATACGAAGCCGATTCCACAGCACGCGACATCGATCGCCATCCTCTCGACGGTCATGTACAGCCGAGGCCTTTTGTCGCTATTGATTTTCCACGTGCGTGGAGGACTCTACCCTTGATGCCCGGGCAACTTTTCCTTCGCTATCGGCCAGTTAGTTGTTCGATTTATCGTCGGGCGAGTCGATGGCGAATACGAATGAACCGATACGGATCCAATAGACATCGAAGCATTATTCATACTTTCCTCTAAAGCAAATAATTGATCATTACTTAATCGGCACCGCCTATGTTTATTACATATTTATTACAGCGCGAGTTACATTAATTCGTGCTTTATTGCAGTATCGCCCATTGCGATAATATTGCATTCGAGGACTGGATGTACGAGCCAAATTATAAAAAAGTTATTATGAAAAATGAAAGAATTTTAGTCGAACACTCTACCGTTTACAGATATTGCATTGTTTTCCATCTTAGAAAGGCAAGTCATTTTTTTTATTTTTTTTTTATTTTGGTGAATGTAATTGTGACGTTTTTAAGATAATCCGTTAGAAATATCTCAGAAACAGTTAGACGATTAAAATCGACAAATCATACTGCTTTAACAGTTCATTTGGTTGAAAACAGTTTGTAGCCCGAAAAATTTCTTACGTTAAAAATATTCTATATATTTGAAATTGTAATTCTTCTTATTATTATTATTATTATTATTATTATTATTATTATTATTATTATTATTATTATTATTATTATCGTTATCATTATCATTATCATTATCATTATCATTATTTAAGACAATCAAACGCCGTGTATTTATATTATTAAATAAATCGTGCTTCCTTAAATTAATATATTTAAAGCGCAATTAAACAGTATAACGTTTAATACTATTTCCAGCAAATGTATAAATTACTCGCTACTTTTCAAAAACACTTTAATTACCTTGATAATCCGTGAATCACTGCACTACACAATAAGACTCGTGCAGATGTAAATTTTATCAATTAAACAGACATTGTATGTCAGTGTTACTTTATAACTATAATTTTATCATATGCTTGTTCTAATAGATCCACATACAGAAAAATGTGTCTTTCACTTGCGTCATGTTATTACACATTTTTCCGCACTTAACAAATGTGTTTCATTCGTATTGAAAAACGTTAATTGGTCCGATACAATTTCATAATCCATGAAAGCACCAATGGCTTACTCCGAAGATTTTCACTTTTACAATGCCGATCGCAATATTAGATAATGAGTGTTCTGATTTCGACGTTATTACTATATAGCGAAATCTCGACCAACTATGTACATTTATATTTTTTTTTACCTTCAAGCGCACAACTAGAAAGATTATAGAGACGTTACTTATTATATTTGTCCATGTCTACGGGAACTTTCATTGCTTGTTTTACGATTCATTTTGCAGAATAACACTGTAACAATTTGTTCCAACAATTACTGTTTTCATTCCTCGAGCTTTTATCAGACCGTTAAAAACAACGAAGACCAACGTATAATTTATTAATTTTTCCCCCCTTCATTGATAATGCATTTTAAAAATATATTACAAATGCTGCTTCCAATCTTCAAAAAGTACGGCAAAAAAAAACAAAATTCCTAACCATCATTAAAAGTTTAATGGATTATCTTATTGGCTTTATAGCGCGTTTCACATATTTATTATGCACATATTTTTAAATTAGTAAATTATTATTTAAACAATGTCGCCTCCGATAATGCATCATTTACTTAGTATGGTATTTCATGAATAAATAATATTTAATAATGAAATCAAACTTATAAGTTCGCTAATTTTCTTCATTTTATGTCTCTCTTAACCATAAATGCCTATTCCCGATATTATATAGCAATAACGAGAGCTTAGCGCTCATTTCTAAGGAAATTCATTTTTTCTATTATAATTATCAAAAAAAAAAAGATTTTCATTACCGTAAGAAATAAATCGAGCATTCGAGGGAAATTTTACTTACCTTTCGAGTAATTTTATCGCAAATATGATACCAAGTCTAAGGTAGCCATTTTCATGAGACTGGTTACAAGTTGTGGCATGTATGTATGTATGTAACAGTGTGTGAAACTACATTCTTATAATCTCTTATAATGTAGAAATTCCCGAATGCCAGATTATGATGACGCAGGGTGCAGAGAACAATTATGAAATGTAGAGAGAAATTTTTTTCTATGAGTCACTACGAAATACTTAAATAAATAAACAAACACACACACGCGTATATATATATATATATATATATATATACCTTTTTTTCTTCTTTTTTTTTGAGGAAACAATCAACCTAATCCGTGTGAATGACAAGTATATATAAATTATATGCTAGTCTTAGGCAAAGTTAAGAATGAAAGAGAATGCAATTCCAACATATTAATGACTAAGCCGAAAATATCGAGTGAATTTCAAAAACATTGCATATGATGGATAATTAAGCGAGAGTTCATTTAATTTCCATTTGTTTAGTGAGCATGCGCGCGCGTTGATTTCGCATTAGGAAGTAGTAACAGCAGCTGCTGCTACTGCTGCTGGTGATAAATGACGATATAATATGGCAAAACGCTTACCTCGACTTTGCTGGCGTAGTTCTCGGCGAGGGCCTCGCTCTGTCTCGTGAGCTCCTGGTTGCGCTCGAGTAGGGCCTTGCCGAGTTCAGCCGCGAGGACGAGGTCGCGCTCGCGCTGCTTCAGGAGCTCACCGGGTTCTTCGGTACCATCCTCGTAGCTCGTGCCGCGCGTCTGCAGGCTGGATATCATGTCCTCGAGAGCGTAGGGCTCGTAACGGCCCTCGGATTTCCGCGGCAGCATGGTGCCACCTATGATGTGCGGTTTCCTGGGCTCGGGTGCCGCCGTTATCTGCCGGGTCGCCACGTGGGCGCGACCGCGTGGCGCGCGCGATACGCCGCCATTGGGGCACGGCGCGGCCCCACGTTCCCTGGAACGGACAATGAGCCGATCGCTCGAGATTAAATTTGATCCTGAATGGCGATAACGAATTGGAAAATTCGTAGAAAATTAAATAAGGCTGGGAAGTGGAGCTGGTAAAGACGATGAAATTGGATTTCAGATTCGAACTATAATTTTACGGTATTATGCGAACGGCCAAATCGTAATTGCTAATTATTTCATAATCTAATTTCATGTCGTGTATTATAGCTTTAGCTAGAGAGATAAGCTTTTCAAATTAAAGTAAATGTGTCGTTATGATACGTACGCGTCTAAGTGCCGTAAGGAACACAAGCTTTCAAACTAAATCGATAATTACTATGCAATAAGTAATAGTTCTCCGGAATAATCGAGCTAAAACTGAATATTTATTGAAAAACAAGAAGAAGAAGAAGAAGAAGAAGAAGAAGAAGAAGAAGAAGAAAAAGAAGATAGAAAGAAAAACAACAACGACAACCTACCAATTCTATAAATTGCAAGCTTTTCCTGGTAAAATGCTGTATTGACAAATCACAAAACTATTCGCGCACCAAGGAAGCGCTAGAAAAATGAGAAAGACATCTAAACACGCATGGCACGAGAGATATTTCACATGTAAATGAATACATAAGAGCTGCACACCTACCGACGCGTTCCCCGAAAAAATCGTCGCATACCAAGCGCACGCATAAACACAAAGTCATCGTGCACAATAGAACCTTACCAATCCAAGCTTAGATCCGTGTCTCGAGTAACTGAAAATTGTCGCCCCCCCGCCGCCCCAAGGTGTGACAATTGCCAAATAAAGTAAGGCACATTAGCATTAATACGCTTGTGGAGTGATATTTAGAGGGAGAAGAGAGGAGAGAGAACGATTACGAATCATCGTGACTGGTTTATCCACTTGCATAAGAGACACAGGGTACGGCGGTACTCGCGATATCCCGAGATGAGATTGTCTCGAGTTTTAGTATTATCGAGGGGATGGCCCACGGGGACTGCCAAGGGCCCGCTCGAGCCAATGAAAAGCGTCGCCCTCGAATCTGCGTAAGCTCACGTGATCCAACGGTCGTCCATCGATATAATAGATATCAGGTGCTTGTCGACAACAAAGAATGTACTCGAATAAGATGCGAGAACCGATTGCGTAGATCTCTTATTGCACGGGGAAACGACAAAATGCGTTAAAAGATAAAAGTCTATCTTCCATTGTTGATTTATTTTCCGAAAATACGTATTGGATCGAATTGGCTGGAGTGCTCCGCAATATCTAGTTTTAATGGAATTGCCACTGTCGCCGGTTATTTATATCACTTCTTCTTTTCTACATTAATAAATTAGAGATAAGTATGCGAGGGTACTAGATTTTAAATAGCACATCAAAGATTACCGCACTATTGAAGTAGATTTTTTCTACGAGTTCCAAAATTCGCCGACTTCCAATCAAATATATAAAGCGCACGCGAAAAGAAGATGGCGTTTGTTACAACACGTGACATTAATCGACCTTAATATTAAACTTTATAACCCTTCTCTACATATTGATATTTTTTCATTTACATGACATCGATAATACACACACTTGGCAAGCATTCGCGCGCGCGCGCGCGCGCACACACAAATTTCTTTTCAAATACTTATTCCGTCCTATCAATATTCTTTTAATACGTTTGATTGTCATATAAAACAAAGCAGATAACCCCAAATTGCGGTTTAAACTGCTAGATGAAACAAATTGTAGAAGAAAAAAATTTCAAAGTATAATTATGAATGAAAAACATAAGCTGAAATGATAATATACGTTTGAAATGTGATGTAGAATCAATATGATACGCGAATTTATTAATAAAGTAATGCAAGCTCTCGGGGTTGGGGGAGGGGAGGAGGGGGAGGGGGGGATAATGGATCGTGCCAGTAAAAATTCAATTTTATATAAGATGTTTAAATAAAACGTATATATACAATGAAATAAAGAAAATATTTTCATTACAGAAGCAATTTACGATTTAATGCCCGAAAATTCTCCAATGTACAAATATTTGAATACATACGATTCAAGATCATTTGAATTCCGATTTTTGGTTTTATCGTGACATTTCATTTTGTTAATCAATTATTTTCAAAATTACATAGTTTAATATTAATATATTTGCATAATTATCTACATTTTTACATCTACAATGGTAATTACTTAAACATAATTACGAATTCGTTGGTAATTAATATTGAACATATTTTTCTTGTAAAACATTTTCGATATTTTATTATTTTTCTGAATCATAAATCACAAAGCCGTATATGTCAGGACAAATCGCTTATTCTTATATAAAAGCATTCATACGTAACAAAAAAAAAAAAAAAAAAAAAAAAAAAAAAATACCTTTTTGTTATTGCGATTGGAAATTTCTTAAATAATTTCAAATTATATGTCGATTTTAATAATAAACATTTAGTTGTTAAAATTAGTTTAAAACTTAATGCTCGGCCTGTATGAGAACAAATAGAGTCTTAAATATGATTCATTAGTAATGTAATTGTTTTGACGAATAATTTTATTTATATTTATAACACGGCAAAGTATCTACATTATAAACATTAAAATAAGCAAATTAGAAAGGATAATCGAGATGATGACTCGATGATGAAAGCAATTTTTATAAATATAAATATTTGTACGAATATTTTCTTGAGCAAATGCTGGAAGTAAGAATAGATTGAATTACTGATAAATTTATTCGCTTAAATTGATTGACCCATCGATTAAATATTTAATCATATATCATTTCACCGATGGCCATTGCATGTATACGCGAATGCATTTAATTCATTGTAAAATGCATATTCCGCGTTTGATGATTTTCATTTAATTTGTTTATGAGTAAAATTTTTTTGTTCTTCTCTTCGCCTTTCTTTTCTTATTGCTTTTTTGTTTTTATAAGGCAAGAAAACATTCGTTACTAATCATAAGGCATTTTTTTATCATGACTTTGTGTGCTTCCGATACAAATGTCCGAGTCTTTGAGTTTTCGCGAGAATATTGAAACCTTATGCATCTGTACACTTTTGAGTTTTTTGATTTTGTTTTTATTTTTTAAATCTATGTCCCGTACACTCTGGTCAAATACTTCAAAATGAAAATATATGTTTACGGTGCTGCGCAAAGTGCAGCGAGACCCACGAGACCCCACAACACCCTCCGAATTGCAAAAGCCTGAAGAACGAATATATTAACTATAAACGAAGTGAAAAAACAGGAGTTCGGTTAAATCTTGCAAAGGAAACGCGATTCACTGACCGTAGAATCGGCGCATCGCGAAACATTCCGCAGACGCGAGTTATAAGACAGCGGTCGGAGGGAGGGTAAAAGCAGCACGTCCGGCTAATACGAACGACAATGTAGAAGACGTAGGATCGACGAAAAGTGTCTTCGGTCCCTGGAATATCGCGTTCCCGCTAGAGTTATCGTACGCGTAATGGGCTCTCACGACTTGTTCCTTCCCATTTTTATGCCTGGCACTTCGTTGCCCCGATTGCACCTTGAGCATCGAGCAGATGATGCGCCAGTTGCTGACGTCAATTTTATGATGGTGGTGGTAGTGGTGGTGCTAACGTTAGGGGGGATGGTACCGGCAGGATACGGAGACCCGTTGGCGAACG